TAATTGAGTCTGGCATTCGTGACCAACTCGTGTTATTCCGGGACAAGCCGAATAGCGTCTCGTGCCTGTCTGGAAGGATTTCTTATTGGCGTAGGAACATGAGAACTACTTCAAACAGGAACGATAACTCTATTCCTGTTTCATTCCAAAGGTACTTCATATCACCGAAGTACTCATACATTGTATTGCTGTTTTTGCTTTTGCTTATATATTTTAAAGAATTAAACCTCCTTGGTACAACTTGAAGAAAGAGAAAAACATATTTGTTAAAGACATACTAGTATTCTGACGTAATCATTACCAGATGTTCACCTTCTATTTCCAATTATATTTCTGAAAGGGTTTAATAATCACAAATGAGATTTGTTTTATTGAATATGCAAATAAAATTTATAAAACACCCGCTACATTAAATCCCAAAGCAGAAACTCAAAAAATGACTTTTATAATATTTCGCAAACTGAATATTCGTGTAACCTTGCTGTCATACCCCAAATGGAATTTTAAATGAATTCTCTGAAAAATATATGAATGACCACAATAAGGTCAGACTAAAATATTCCCAGAGAATTGAAATATATGCCGAATGTTAAAGATTAAAGTTCATTAGTTACATACAGCTATATAATATTATTGTTTTGAAACTCGAAGCGATCTATAATTACATTTCGAAAAACTGTTGGAAGCCCACGGACAATCACCACAACAAGCCCGCAAGATCGCCAGAAATACATTCAGTTGGACCCATGGGAGCCGTTATGTCAACAAACTCACGTGCATGTATTTGAAACTCTTACCGTCAATCGCATGATTCTTATCAAAAACTTCATGATAGACAGCACAATTCTGTTAGCTACCTTCTAAGTACTTTCAATAAGATGATATATATTTTTCATGATTTTTTAAACAATAACATAATGCCATAAATGATATAAGTAGTCGGGATCATTCTTATCAAAGCACCGCAAGCATTACGTGTGTTCTGATTGGTTTGTCATATTTTCGCACATAACAAACATCGAGACGGGACGAGTCTTCTTGGAGTTTACGGAAAGGGGTGAGTGGTGACGAATGTGAGTCTAGACCACACATCACATGGAAGCTTTAAAATCTTTGAATCTGGACCAAACAAATCAGTAATGCACAGCACGAGCACAAGTCACAAAGCGGGACTAACCAGTCCTCTTTACTTGGCTCTCACGGTCATCATATAACCTGAATGAGGTGTTACATTAAACACCATTCCACATGTCATGTTGCCTGGAAGACAGGATTGTGGTTTAACTGACTGACTGACTGACTGAGTTTGGTTTTACACCGCTTTTAGCAATATTCCAGCAACATCAGGGCGGGGTACATCAGAAATGGGCTGCACACATTGTACCCATGTGGGGAATCAAACCCGGGTCTTCGGCGTGATGAGCGAACGCTTTAACCACTAGGCTACCCCACCGCCCCTGATTGTGGTTTAACACCACACTCATGGTCAATTATTGATTCTGGGCCACAATACCAGTGATTGATATTCTGAGCACTGATCTACCCAATGGGGATAGATGTATCAATCATGTCAGCAATCCTGACCACCAGTATCTTCATGTGCAACAAGTCACACCTCAGCCCTTCTTTCTGACAACAATTTTCTTGGACACTTTCTGCCACAAGGTATCATGAGAACAAACAAACGAAGTAAGTACAAAATACTTTATGAATATCAATTCAAATCAACTGAATAAGAACTTATTATGTACATCATCCACATTGGCACTATGAGGAAATGTATGAGGAATGAGGCTCACAATGTATATACATTCCAGGTGACCCAACACAAAGTGATAACACATATTGGCACAGAAAATATCATTCGTCCATAATGAAAAAAAAACCAATGGACGGTCAAGGCCTCTAGTAAGACAGGACCTACAGTAAAATTCAACATACTAATTTGGTGTTATCAGTTTTATAACAGATAACTTGACAACTTAGTCATGCTACTTGTAGCAGCATTGAAAACACTACATATGAAAAGATAACATGACTGGAAGCTTGTGTAGGGAGCTAATCAGATCTCAGTTCAGAGGAACTATCTTCCAACTACTACATGAGGTACATGACCTGTAACATAGAATGCATACTATCTACAGTTTGGTGTCTGCAACTGTGATCTTCCAACAAGAAAGAGTGAGTGAGTGAGTGAGTTTGTTTTTTTGCCGCTTTTAGCAATATTCCTGCAATATCACGGGGATGGACACCAGAAATGGGTTTCACATATTGTACCCATGTGGGGAATCAAACCCGGGTCTTCGGCATGACGAGCCAACGCTTTAACCACTAGGCTACCCGACCACCCCCAACAAGAAAGAAATATTCTGTGTATGTAAAGGCATGTTGTAACAGTAACATTTCAAAGCGAAACCCTGTCATTATATATATATATTCCAAACTAAGAAAGACATTGCTTACTACAATGTTATTTTGAAATTTCTATAATCACATATGAGCTTAATGCGTGACCTCTGCTCAGTTTACTTAAAAAAAGAAACAATACTGTTTTCTACATCTATACAAAGGTTTCAATGCAATATATGACAAAAAAATCATACAGTCATCAAAACATTCTCCATGCAAACTTAGGTTCATGACCAAAAAACATACTATCAAAATAGTGGAAATCAAATACAAGCATACCTGAGTAAATATACTGAGTTCAGTGACACAAGAAAGAACAGAAAACATTCTTATTCAAAAGTTATGTAATACCAACACATGGGATCAATTTGATGCAAAATTCAAACTTATTCCGCCAAACAAGATGAAAAACAAATCGACAAGCCTGATAGTCTTTCTTCCAATAAAACAATACACTAAATGTTCCAGCACACAAAGTAAAACATTATAGAGGAAGTGCAACTTGCATAACTGTGAAAGAACAAATTTTTAACCCAACACCCCTCCAATGAACTTAACAGTCTGACAAGGGTATTTCCATGGATATAATCTTTGTTATGCTGATAAACAGGACACATACCACATACCCGTTTCATATACAAATAAAATATAGACTGCAATTGTGATACAATATTTGAATCTGACTGACCACCAGTGCTGGATTTCATTAAGCTATCATAGTGCTACTGCTTTATATCCATGCGTTAACAAATGACCAGGTGAATCTCAGCTGGACAAACATGGCATTGGACTATTGCTGTACTATAAAGACATATGAGCTGTGAGTCCAGGTGAGTCACAGTTTTACTGCTTTTCTAAAACACATAAGGAAAGGAATATTGCTGACAAACTAAGAATCCTTATCAAGGTGAAACTGAAATTTGCACACATGATCGCCGGGTCCTACAAGCAAATATGGATAAGTTGGACCGGTGCAGAGAACGTGTTTACAAGTAGGCGGTGCACAGCAGTGAGCAAACCCATTTGGTTTGTGTAAGGTAGAGCAGATGTAGGCTAATGCACGTCTATTGCATGACGATGAAATTGATTCCGCGCGTAGCTGCACACGCCTTGCTCATAAGACTCACACGTCGGTGCAGCAAGTCGCACTACACATGATCGCGGACAACCTGGGGCCCCTTCGTAAACAATGGCAAGCGCAAGTGGGTGGCACTCATACATGTTAATATGGGTCAATTGTCAGGTCGGTGCTCAACTTATCCTTGTTTGCCAGAAATATGACTAAGGACACAACTTCAAATGCCTTAGAGAACTGAGCAGCACCATAACATTGCTATGAGGCTCAACTATGCCACATTTCATTAGGTAGGGTTACAGATGTGGCAACTCATATATTCTAACATTATTACCCATATAGGAAAGAGGACACAGGGTAGTATTTTTCCAACTCGGGACGGGGAATGACAGATTTCCCTTGTTATATTAACTACCGTATATTACCGTAGATAAGCCAAATTTTGAGGACCAAAAAAAGCAGTCTGTAGAAGGGGGTCGGCTTATCTATGGGTTACGCTTTCGTCAAACTTTTTTCCAGGGGTATGTACTTAATATAACTCAGGAAAGATAATATGTCATTCCCCGTCACTCGTTATTGTCTAAGTACTCACTCAGATCTCCATGCAATGCATGGCCCTGAATAACAAACAAAACATCTCTCCCAAGTGAGAGAAATGCAAAGAAGGTTCTGAGGTAGTACAAACTGGTACTTAATGACTAGCCTTTTCAGTAAACTTTGGCTGTAACACTCATTGGTAACATGAAAAGTTAACACAAAATACGTTCTCCTTACAGGAATGTTACATTGGTTCCAGAGACTTGGTCCAGTAAAAAGCTGCAATACGACTAGCACTAATCCCTATCTCCTAGAGCATAGCACTATGTGAACAAGGCCCTGTCATGTTAATCACTTCACAAGTACAGAAAAATGTTTGTCTCACCAAGGATCACAGTGAGGGTAAATATGGGATTTGAACCTATAATCAGCAGATCCTGTCATGGCTAAGGGACACTACTCTGTACAGCCAGAGCTAGTGCCTATTGTGATAAACATGTAACAAAAAATAGCATTAAATGCCTTCAAAACATATACACAAAAGTAACTACAGAGATCTACCTTGATTCCAAGTCTAACAGCGAATCAAAGACAGAGAGTCCATTGTCAGCATGATACATACCATTCTTCATATATTTAACATACTGTGTTTGTTACACAAATGGACAAAATCAACTAAGTTAATACATCAGTGAATGAGTCATTAGCATTTGAAAACCGATCTTGACAATGTCGGTTATCATGTAAGCAGGAGTGATGACCCACCTGAAAAATCTGTTCCGATTTAATTGAGTGAGTATTGTTTTACGCCGCTTTTAGCAATATTCCAGCAATATCACGGCAGGGGACACCAGAAATGGGCTTCACACATTGTACCCATGTGGGGACTTGAACCCAGGTCTTCGGTGTGACGAGCAAACGCTTTAACAACTAGGCTACCCCACCGCCCTGTTCTGATTTAACCCAATGGCAGATGACAGAATGAAAGGGTTCAGTACAGGGATAATGATTTTAGTTAAAAACCCTCTAGCATGCACAGGCCATAAAAATACCCCAGTGTTTATGAAATCGTCGTTAAGCAGATGTACATATTACTTAATGTAATGATTTCTGTTATGCCTGAGATGCTATTATGGAGGATGTATTATATGGAATGTCTGGTTCATCAACAATTTTCAAGATGATGATGAGTATTACGCCTTCTCTCCGTAACGTGATGAATCACTACCCCATGATGCCATTGTTGTGACATCTGTGGCTACTGCTTCATGACAACGTATTCACTGTGAGCCAGATGCTGCCTTCCTGACACCTTATTTCAGTCTTGGGAACTCCTCTTGGAACAACGTGTATCTCCTGCAGGTAGGACATGTTCTTTCATGGCCCAACACCCACTCTCGGATACACTGCAACATATAAGTTGACCTGGGTCAGTAGGGGCCAGGGCCCCGTTCCTCAAGGCGATCGTAGCGCTACGACAGTCGTAAGTCTATGTTAAAGTATAGGAGTTACGATCACCTTAGGGTTACGATCGCCTTGAGGAACGGGGCCCTGGCTGAATGTGAGGGGTCTGTGAAAGGGAGGGTTATTGGTTGAAAAAGTGGATGACCCATGTGTCTCTGAGTAATGAGTTAATATTGCTCAACACCATACATTAGCAAAGTGTTTGAGACACTAGTAGTGAGTGCAAGAGTTTGTGGGTGAGTCATTGAGTGAGTGGAAGAGTTGGTGTAGCAAGAAAACTGGTCACGGCGTGAATGAGTGAGCGGATCAGTAAGTCTTGGGCTGAGTGAATGGGCAGGCTGGGAGGGCAGTAAGTTATCACATTATTGAAAAACAAATATACAGGACTTCTCCAAAAATTGCTTTCACAATTTGTGTGTATGTAAAGAATCAAACAAGGTGAAATGTCATGGTAACCACATGTTTACTCATTTAGTTCCAGAGTCCCTGACACAAGATAACAAAGAATAGAGGGTGTCAGATTAGTACGTATTACGAACCACCAAGTCTCCACAAGCAGACTAACCTTTCTGTACACAGATTATAATACCATGACTACCCATTGAATGTGACACTTCTCAAAGAACAATTCTTGTCTTGCAAAACACATGAACATTGCTACTATGTTACTGTATAACGGCTAGCGATCCCCTTCTTCTTAATTCTTCTTACCTCGTTAGGATGAGAAAGCCGCAAATAACTTGGTGCGCCTAGTGGCTGCAAGAGTTGTATAATCCCCAGGGAGTTGAAATTGATAATACGATGTGCCGTTGAGATTGACATCCAATGATCGAGGGAAAATACCAGCGCCTTGAGCATGCACTAGTTGCCTGGATATGTGCTATATAAATATCCTATAATAAAATAAAATAAATAATTGAGACATTCTGTTCCTCCCCCCACCCTCCCCTCACTATCTGAATGGCTATCTCCAGATGACCAGCTCACACTATAATGGACTTACCTGTATGTGGAACTCATGTCCACAGTCTAATCTCTGCTTTTTGGCAACAGAAAAATCCTCAAAACATATTGGACATACATCTTCATCATTCACTGAATCCTGTAGAGTTGAAAGAAAATAGCATTTAATGTGTTGACATAAATTAGCTAAAAACTCAAGCCAAACATCATAACACTATGTTGCTGGATATCAGTCTTCATCCCTGACGTCACTCACAGGAACTGATAAACATTGCACATTGTGGCATACATTTGTCATGAAGAACACATACTACTTGACCCGTGAAGATCCGGGGTAGAGTGGTCTTCAGCAAACCCAGTGACATCTTGTCGTGAGAAATGGGCTGGTCAGTTTCGCTGACTTGGTTGACACATGTCATCGGTTCCCAATTGCGCAGATCGATGCTCATGCTGTTGATCACTGGATTGTCTGGTCCAGACTCGATTATTTACAGACCGCCGCCATATAGCTGGAATATTGCTGAGTGCGGCGAAAACTAACTTCACTCAACATACTAATGTTAGTGAGAGGACACTAGAAATGGGCTTTTTTACCATGTGGGGAATCGAACCCCGGCCTTCAACATGTTAAGCGGACGCTTTAACCACTTGGTTACCCCACTGTCCATCACACATACAAAGATATAAAAGCGAAAAAAAATGCAAGCAATTTCAAAACTGGGTTATCAGTGTAATTCAGTACAAAAGACATGTAGACTGATGCCATGAAAGATTTAAATTCAGAAATCTTAGTCAAATTCACTAACTTTTCTTTGATATGAATTCTTCACAAGAGACGTAGCTCTTGCTAGAAGATCCTGCATAATCTCAAGTGCTATCTGACTGTCAGCCCCTGGCAAGTCAACTTGATGCAGATTCCACTATAGATGCAACAAGATAAGAAGCATGATGTGTATTGAACCTCCAAGAGGTTTGTCTTACCCCAGGAGACGTGATGGCCGGTCTGTGAGGAAGCTGTTTCCTGGTTGTTTCATAATATTTCTGAAACTCAAGTGTGTTGTAGATGTTGCTGCCTTTCTGTGCTGGTGCTGTTGTTACCTGCAACAGACCAACAAACAAGCATTCAGAATTACACATTGTGTTCCCTTCTTCCTTCACATAATAAACTACACCATTAAGACAGTCCAGTCCCATTTTCTTACTACATTCGCTTTTAGTCAAATTAAAATATATTACTTGCTCCATAGCAAACTATCTGAAGAAGAAGAAGAAATGAGGTATCTTCTGGTCAAATTTGATTCGTTAAAACATACCTTCGGTACAGATTCATGTTCAAGTTTGGCCATCATTTTTTTATGAACAATGCCTCTGCCTACATCGACGATGTCATTCAACTTCATCCCTGTCAAGCCCCCTCGCTGTGAACGTATGGAGGTTACCAGCTCAATCACTTCTGGCCTGACAGAGAAACACAAACATGACACATCAGTCATATCAGTTGGTGAGTGCTGGGTGTACAGAGTATCTATGCTAAATAATCCATCTTCAATTCTTTACGGTTTTGTATACAAAGTGTTCACTTTCAAGACATATGGTTGGGTTGATAAGTGTAGTAGTAATGGCAACTATCCATTTTAGGTGAGGTGAAATTGGGTTTTACGTCGTACTTGAGAATATTTCGCTCATATGACGACATGCATGCGTGTGTATGTGTATGTGCGCCTGCTTGTACTAGCCAAGACTTAAGCTGATTTTATAGTGCTAGCCCACTGAGATACCATGCCGCAGTGAAGCATGAATACCCCACTCCGACACATTATACTGACTCCGAGCCGACCAGTCCTTGGTGTACCCATTAATGCCGAGTGCCAGGCAGGGACCAACAAGTACCATATTTTAACGTCTTTTGGTATGACGCGGTCGGGGATCGAACCCGGGACCTTCCTCTCTCCGGCCGGACGCTCTAACCACTACACCATGGAGGCGGTAACTATCCATTTGAAGTCAAACAATGAAGTGAGACTTGAAGTAAACATTGGAAGTCCAAAGTGTCCTGCTCCATGTATCATTTTTTTTTTTGCAAATCCAAACATACTGGAGTAATGTGTAGACTATTCAACTTCAGCGTGTACTGGTCAAAGCCAAGAGCCTACCTGCTGGTCAAATACCTGTTTGTAAATTGAGGGCTGGGTGGTTAATGTTTGATTGTTTCACCTACCGTGATAAGAAAGGAAAATGCCCTGTGAGATGCTCCACAAGTTTTTCAAAGTTGTTTCGAGGTGCTTTGGAAGGCCCCTTCGATGCGACTGTTACCAGAGCCATACTTGCTGCTGGTTCTCCCCGGGCTTGCTCTCTCTTTCTTTTCTTCATACTAACCTGTAACAGATAAGCACATGCTGACACCCTTGTTGGCCCATTGGCAAGGTGTGTGGATCAAGGTTTTGTCAGGAGCGCAACAACTGTGAATCATCAGTACTCACCTCCAGTAGCACAACATCCATAAAATATCATAGACCTTTTGCCACACAAACTTGCCTGGGTTATGACAGACACCATAAAAAGAGTGGGACTTTCTCAAATCACCATCAGGAATAACATCCCCTGTCTTGCATCACTACCTGTTGTAGTGTGTCCTACTTCCAGTTGTAATGCATGCTATCATTTTCATAAAACTACTACTAGAAACTATTAGCTCGACAATTTTGAACATTTTCTGAGAATCCCCTACTATTGTTAGGAGTACATATTTTACAAAACTGCCCAACTCTCCAAACATGTTGTGGGGTGTCAAGTATGCCAAAGAAATATATTAATCTTTTTAAGATCTCTGAGAAACAACTAAGAACTTTGAGAACAACACTGAGCCAATATTCAGACTAAGGGAAAGTTGTTTCAGTGGAAACTTGTACATTGTTTGTTTATAAGACACTAAACTGTCCAAATCCACCAGTTCACCACTAGACTTATCAGTGTGACAAGTTTGGTCAAGTATGGTTCTCAAGATCTGCTCCAGAAACATCTTGCAAGGAGAGACACAGGATGATATCCAACTATTAAACCCTTTTAAAAGGCCTCATGGGGGAAAATAATGTAACTATAATACCATAAACTGTTTTAAGACACAGCTGGGATGGAGAAGGCCCATCAGTAAGCTCTTACAACATGCCTAGAGTACCCCAAATCCCCCTCTTGTATTTACCGTCTGCCAGTCATCCTCGTCATCGTGGCTAGGTTCCTGTTTCGGCTCAGGCTTCTCTCCTCCTTTGCTCTCTGCAACGTCATGGGAATATGTGTTTAAGAATGTCATAAACAGGAGTACGAGGGCGGTATTTAAAGATTTCCCCTGACCCACTTCTGACAGACGTAGACAAACATAACTTGGAACAGTTATTAGTCTTTCTCTACATAGGCACCACTAAGTGTTATACACTTTTTCCATCATTTTATGCAACTCTGGGGGCCTTGTTTGTAAAAGTCGGTGGGTTGAGCCTCAAGCCAAGACTTCACTTCGGAAATCACTGTTTCATCATCTGGGAAACGTGTTCCCATAAAAAATGACTTTATGGTTGGAAACAGGTGAAAGTCAGATGATCCGGGTAAGGAGAACAGGGGGTGTGGAGGAAGGTTTCATAGCTACAGTAGCGCGCTTCTGTCTGGGCAATATGCGACTTGTGGACTTGGGCACTGGCTTGCTGGAGACGGACTCCCCAGGTCAGCATGCCACGCCTTTTGAGTTTGACAGCTTCTTGCAATTTACGCAGTAGTGAAGCATAGTAAGTCCCAGTAATTGTGGTACCCTTTGCCAGGAAGTCTGTCATCACTATTCCGTGCTGGTAAATAAAAACCCTGCAGAGGGTTGAACCCTTGCCTTCTTTGGTGGTGGTGAGTCAAAGTGCGTCTACCCATGTTCCATCCTGTGAGATCGAATCTTTCAAAAAAGGCTTCCTGGTTTTCTTGGCACATGTCCAAAAGAGCCTTTGGGTAATCGTTTTGTTCCTGCTTCTGAAAAGGAGTAAGCAGCCTGGGAATCCACTGTGCACACACCTTATGCAGGTGCAAATGATCGTGAATAATTTCCACAGACCCTACACTTATCTTCACACTTTGGGCTAACTGGCCAACAGTTATACATCTGTCTTCTAAAATGGCAGTGTCCATCTACTGGATGGTGTCTTCATCAATGGCAGAATTGAGGTGCCCAGGAATAGGAATCGTTTCAACAGATGTTCGGCCACACATGAACTGGCAATGCCAGTGTGTTACAATGTCATATGATGGGGCATCATCCCTATAAGTTTTTTTTGTTTTATCGATGGTGAAAAATGATCACTGCTCGGTACTCGACTGGCTCCATAGTCACACCATTTAGGAGATAAACATCGACATTGTAAACCCAAAAGTAAACCGAAAGGTCCACACACGTTTTTTGTGTCTGCTCTCATTGACATCGAGTACGGGTACAGCAGTGAAATGTCATCAGCCGGCCGTTTCGGCTGTCTCCCATGGTAGCATCTGGAACTGCTCATTTGTGACGTCATTCGGACTTTACGTCACAATATGATTTTAATGACGTCATCACAGCTGACGATGTAACAATACAATGGTGTGAGCGATGTTTGTATGTATTAATACGCAGAGAATTTCTGGGAATCAAATACCATTTGATCACGTTTTTCAACCAATCAGATTAAAGAACACAGAGACTTTTGGTTTACAATCTCATATAAAACACTTGTGAATGGGGGAGCAGTGTGAGTACAGTATTGCAAATTATCATGTCACCTATAGCTTCATGTAAACTATACAGTTAAAATTTCAGCCAGATAAGATAACCCTAGGTGGGTCAGGGGATATCTTTAATGAACGCTCCTCATATCAATATCATATAATTAATTTCATCTTCATTTGGACTAAAAGCCCCCAAAAAGTGAAATATATTTCTGTCACTATGGTTTTCACAATCTTAAAAATCAGGGATCAATGATAGATCGCTGTTACCACAATTACGTAAAACAGACATATGTGGTGTCTGGCAACACTAAAACATCCTGTTTTTACTTCATTTCACCATTTTTATTGGGCCTAAAAAAAATTGTTGCGGTTCCGACTACCTGACCGACAGCCCTTAAATTCTGGTGCCGACCCTAAAATCAGATATGATAACCCTAGGTGGGTCCGGGGATATCTTTAATGAACGCTCCTCATATCAATATCATATAATTAATTTCATCTTCATTTGGACTAAAAGCCCCCAAAAAGTGAAATATATTTGTCACTATGGTTTTCACAATCTTAAAAATCAGGGATCAATGATAGATCGCTGTTACCACAATTACGTAAAACAGACACATGTGGTGTCTGGCAACACTAAAACATCCTGTTTTTACTTCATTTCACCATTTTTATTGGGCCTAAAAGAAATTGTTGCGGTTCCGACTACCTGACCGACAGCCCTTAAATTCTGGTGCCGACCCTATTTTTTTTAAGCAGTATGATTAAAATAAGCTTTCAGATCTCATTGTTTTTTCCCGGCACCGACAGACATCGGTTATTCTGATAAAGTTGATATGATGGCCGCAAGCTGGATTAAATAAATAATTACACAGTGACAAATGTGTTACCGGTATTAGTTTCTACTTTACTTCTAAAATAAATATGTAAAAACAAATAATTCCTACCTATCTACCCTAAATTTTAAAGAGGTGTAAAGGGAATCACAACATTTTTTTTATTTGGCCTTGTATAAGAATTATGTGACAGTGCAATACAATGCCCTCAATTCACTTGGAACTGTAGTCTTGGAGGACTATTTAATAAAAGGCTACCTACTTTTTTTCTCGTTCTTCAATTTTGCATTGATATTGGCATTGCTCCTCAAGAGTCTCCCAAGGAAGTTAGCGTCAGGCTTGTTGGGTTTGGGTTCCATCTTGAAACCAGAGTCCTTAATCTCATCAAGTCCTGTGCAGGACATGTTTCTTTTCTGCCCAAAGTCCTTGAATCCTTGTGTGCTGCTCCCTAAGATTGATGCTGCCATCTTGTCGAAGTCCTCGGTTGGAGTACAACCCCTTGAGGAACTCTGGGACTTGGTCTGGATGTCTGACGTAGGTCCACTTGCTTGTTTCTGGGATGCAGCTATGCTTCTACCTTTGAAGGATCCGCTTCCTGGTCTTGGATTAGATGAGTTTGTTGGCAGTGAAAGTTTCCTTGACCTGTAGGGTTGGTCCCAGAATTCTGGAGTGGTGCTTCTTGATGAGTTCTGGGAGCCTAAGTCTTCATCTGAATATCTTGGAGGGTCAACAGGCCTAAAATGTACAGGTCTCTTCACATCTTGTGTACATGTAAACTCCTCGGGGTATTTTTCACACTGCTCTTCCCAATCCTCATCCATTTTGATAGTGGTAGCCTTCACAGAAGGAAAGAGTTCTCTGGAGTCACGAGTCGCTGGTGATATTCTACCTCCACTTCTAGGCTTCGTGGTTGATCTCTTCCTCTGTGGTGCTGCTTTCGTGATGCTGGGAGGTGCATGTTGCTCAAAAGGATTGACGTCTTCAGTGGTTAACGTAGTCTGTCCAGCAACATTGGTACTGCTAACTGCAGCAGCTTCAGTAGACCGTCTGTCCTTCAGGAGGTATGATCTCAATCCAGCAGGTGTCATTGCTGAATCTGTGGCAGTACCAGAGACAACAGGCTGAACGACTGATGGACCACATGTCTTGACTTTAGGTGGGGGGAGTTGCTTCAAATTTGAACATATCAGGATTCAGAGTCTTTATATCGGGTACTGCTGCCTGCTCAACATCAGACTCTCCTCTGCGAGCTTGCATCATGTTAACAAGACCTACAGGATTCCAGGCAGCCCCACCTGACTGAGCTGTGTCGGTAGGTCTTGTGTTTCCTGCTATGTTGGCCTTGACAGCCTCAGACAATATTGGGGCTTGTAAAGGGTTGGTCCTCTGGCCAAGTGGACTGGCACTACTCTCATGTATTGACGGGAAGTTCTCTGGTTGAGATTGTGTCTCAGGATGTGCTCCTGGATGTGTTCCTTGAATGCCTGGAGTGACACCAGAGGCACCACCAGGTACGTTCATATAGGACTGCAGCACCATTGTTTGTTGTACACACACTGTCTGCAACATCACAGGGTTTGAAGCCAGTTGAGGGTAGGCCTTAACAACTTGTGCCAGCACAGCTTGGAACAAATTGGGGTTCAACTGATCAGGTTGTATCGCCTGTTCTAAAGGCTGCTGTGATACTTGCTGAGATGGTGTCAGTTGGTGCTGAATAGGTTGTATGGGGTGAACTTGTGGGTGATTGATCTCTGATGAATCTGATGAATCAATGTGATGATTTGTATTGAAGTTTCCTTGTGGTGTTTCTGTTATTAGTAAACCAGAGCCCTGATCCTGATTACTTGAACATGACAGGTCTGTGTCAAAGTGATTTGGAGATGGTTCCTCTTCTGCTACAGCATGTCTGACCCCAAGTCGTTTCATAGCACTAGCCTTCAGATGGGACACTACAGATCCTCTGTCACCACTGTCTCGATTCACCACCTTGCGTACCTCATCAGAAGACGGAGTGCGTACATCTGGGGGAGGAGTCAAAATCTCTACTGGTTTGTTTGGAGATAAGCTGGTTCTTGGCTTGTCAGGAGATAAGTTGTTCTGTTGTTTGTGTGGAGATATCCTTGATTTGATAGGGGAACCAGAAATTGAAGACTTTGAGTCCACTTTCCCTTTCTCTGATGCAAGTTGGTAGTTCTGAAGGACAGTCTGGACTTTCTTCACAAGGTCAGAGTCAATGTCACATTCATCATCAGTGTCTTCCTCAATGTCATTCTGTAACAAAAGAAATACAGATAAAAGTTCTAAGCCCAAAACTAAACGAATTATGAAGTGTCTATGATAATAAACATGCAATATGTTGGATAGCCAAACAAGCAGCATACAGTAGAAGCATAAATATCTAGATCCTATAAGTTCATCATTTGGACTAGTGGTAAGGTACCATATTTCAGTCAGAAAAAACATCAGCTACAAGTTCCATCCATGAAAACCAAATACATAAATCATCTTATCTTTAGACTGTCTTATTGTACCTGAATACTTATAAATCCTGGAGGAACGCTTTTGTCCAGTTTCAATGCATCAGGTTTCTTCTCAACTGTATCACCAGAAGCCTTATCCTCGGTATCTGTAGCAACAGGTGTAGAAGACAAGCTACTGCTTGCTGTTTCATACTCAGAGTCTTGTCTAGTGATTCTGTCAGGAGAGCTAGTAAACTCTGCCCGATTTCTAGGGGGCAGTCTCAGAGGAAGAGGGGGTATTGGTTTTGGAAGTGATCTAAATGATGAGGCCTTGGATGAGAGTCTTGATTCATGTTTTGGCAATGAAATGTTTTCATTGTTTTGACTTGGTTTATGTTCTTGTTGAGCACTATCTAGGGAGACAGGAATATCAGTTTTTGTGGTTTCCACGTCTTCAATTTTCAATGTTACATTCATATTATCTCTCAAATCATCCTTACATGGTAAAGAAGGATAAGGTTCAGATTTGGTGACAATGTCAACACAAAAGTCTTCTCTCTCAACACAATGTCCTGTGCCAGGATCAGAAGTTTTTTCTTGTTGCATGGATAAGGACGTTTCTCCAGAAGCGTATTGATATTCAGTTTCTGACATGCAAGAAGATGAAGCTGTCATTGCAATGGTTGATGCAGGCTCAGAGACAGAAGAATTGCTGGAGCACTGTGATGACATTAGTTCAAGTTTGTCATCCTCACCAGAAGACAATGAAGATATCATCTCAAAATTTGGGACTCTGCCGAACAAACTCTCCTTACTGGAACCAGATTCTAATGTAGCAGCCATTGCTGTTTCTGAGGAGCAGGCAGTAGCTTCCCCATCTGCTACAGACAAATTATGGTCTAGGTCACAGTTCAATAATTCAGATCCTGATGCTACAGAATGACATTCCTGGACTGTCCTGGTAGAGGGTTCAGCTGTAGACTTATACACAGAGCCATAATCAGATTCTTGGTGCCTCAGTGATCCTGACTGATGAATCTCAGAGACATCACATTCCGAATCTTTCAATGACTGCGACTCACAGATATCAGAAGCAGATTTACAGCCTATTCGTGACCTATCCCTTTGCCTTGCAAGGACAGTTTCTTCCACAAGTTGTTGAGTTGGTACTCTGTCACACCTTTCTCCAATGGACACTGTATGGAAGGGAGACATACTTTCTAAACCTGCATCCAATGGTATGGTTTGATGAGGTGGGAGTTCTTCAGACGTTTCATCAGCAGGGATACTCTTGTAAGGTGACATTCTTTCAAATCCTAACTCAAAAGGCATGTTCTGCTGTGGCGTTAACCCTTCAGTTCCTCCATCAAGGGAAATAGTTTCGTATGGCGGTATATTTTTAAGGCCTGGCACAGTCTTTTGGGGAGATACACTTGCCAAACGTCCCTCGATGGACATGGTATTCTGAGGGCAAACATTATCCCCAAAAGCTTTGTTTGCCTCATGTGCATATATCCGTGAGTGCCGAGATTTAAGATTTACATCTGTTGGACTCCTCAGAAACTTCAGCTGTAACCAAAAACAAAACAAAATCAGTGTGGCTTAAGGCGGCTTTTCTGGTCTTTAGACAGAATTGTCAACTTCAACTATAAATGCGGGTGCAATTCGGGGTGTTAGTTTATCACATGGCTTCCATTGTTTATTGTTGCTCTGTTTGTGGCCGTGGCAGATTTGATAGGCTCAGGGATAGTTTCTTATAAACATGAACCTTGTTGTTGGCAGTGGAAACTCAGTTCATTATAAGCAAGGCATTATGGCTTATGGCTGCTTTTGTCAGTTACATCACTGCATCAGCTTGATGTGGTGGGCAAGCCATAATTCAGGCAGGTATTACACATTTGCTACTTTGTCGAAACTGCAACCACAGTTATGGTGCTGACATATCAAGATACATTTTCAGGGAGAATCAGGTATGTAAATCCAGTCATAGATTTCCAGTATGCCTAATGATACAGAGAGGACAACACCATATAGTGAATGGCAGCACCACAATGAAACATGCCGCAATGAAATATCTACATGATTTACATGAAAATCTTATGAAAAACAAGAAATACATTGCACTCACATTTTCAGAACGTTCTGAGTGAGTGAGTGAGTGAGTGAGTATGGTTTTACACTGCTTTTAGCAATATAAATGGCGGGGTACACCAGAAATGGGCTTCACACATTGTGCCCATGTGGGGAATCGAACCCAGGTCTTCTGCGTGACGAGCCAACGCTTTCACCACTGGGCTACCCCACCGCCCCTCAAAATGTTCTGAAGCATAAGGACACTATGTGTAGCATATAACTGTTATATGTAGCGTAACTGAGATATGAAATGTGTCATAATGTAGTATACAGAGATAGTATAAATTCAGCACAGTTCTACAAAGTCCATCCTAAAGACCTACCACGTCCATCATACAGGGCTACTAAGTCCATCATACAGACCTATCCAAGTCCATCATACAGGGCTACTAAGTCCATAATACAGACCTTCCAAGTCCATCATACAGAGCTACTAAGTCCATCATACAGACCTTCCAAGTCCATCATACAGACCTACCAAGTCCATCATACAGACCTACCAAGTCCATAATTTACACCTACCACATCCATCATACAGACCTACCAAGTCCATCATACAGAGCTACCAAGTCTATCATACAGACCTTCCAAGTCCATTATACAGGGCTACTAAGTCCATCATACAGACCTTCCAAGTCCATCATACAGACCTTCCAAGTCCATCATACAGACCTACCAAGTCTATCATACAGACCTACCAAGTCCATAATACAGACCTACCACATCCATCATACAGACCTTCCAAGTCCATCATACAGACCTACCAAGTCCATCATACAGGGCTACTAAGTCCATCATACAGACCTTCCAAGTCCATCATACAGACCTACCAAGTCCATCATACAGACCTACCAAGTCCATCATACAGAGCTACTAAGTCAATGAAACATGTGATGAGACATCTGTGTACCTCTTTAGGTGTGTAGATTTCATTACCCATCATGGTGGGTAGACTGATACCGAACGCTGGGATGGCAGACAGCGGGCGGCCACTCTGGAGGTCCTTCAGACAGTTCATCAGATGGATCTGATCCATGCAATATAACCATTAGAAAATATCAAACATGTGAGACCAAGAAATATTCCAGATATAAAACTAGTTAATTACCACATTCAAGTTTCAATTAAATGAATACTATCAATGTCTGGCTGGCTTCAGCTTTCCATCTATGGGGATTAGTGGATTGGGTGGTAAGGTTCAGTAACTTTAATGATTCCTTGATACCATACTGAGACAGTTTGCATTATAGCTAACAATACCAATGACCGGATTGTTTGATTTTACTGGCATAAAAGATACTTTGTATTGTACATAACACTTCACTTTCAAAATCCAATTCCAAAACAAAAGTAAATTGTTTTCCTTATGACCAACTAAAGCCATCTTACCTCAAACAAGTGCAATTCTTGTTGTCCAAATTATACCTGTAATTAACTGATTAACCTGTTCTTACCTTGGTCTGTGCTATTTCATCATGTAACCATACAATTAAATTGCATCCACCATGTCCGTCAAGGAGTCCACCCCAGACCTATCACAACAACACACCTTGGTAATCAAACAGGTATATGAAGGGTCATAACATTTGTACTATACACTTGAGCTGCCCAGACTGAACTTTCAATGTTTGAAATAAGGCTGGCCCTGGATTTGCTGAAATTGTATAATAATCCACTGACTGACTGAGTTTGGGTTTTACGCTGCTTTTAGCAATATTCCAGCAACATCACGGCAGGGGACACCAGAAATGGGCTTCACACATTGTACCCATGCGGGGATTCGAACCCGGGTCTTCAGCGTGACGAGCCAACGCTTTAACCACTAGGCTACCCCACCGCCCCGTATAATAATCCAAGGACCATATTTAATGTTAAAATTATAGAAATACAGTAAACTATGGTTATAATGAACTCAAAGATACCACAAAGTTAGAACGGTGGGGTAGCCTAGTGGTTAAAGCGTTCACTCATCATGCCAAGGACCCGGGTTCGATACCACAGATGGGCAGAATGTGTGAAGTCCATTTTGGGTGTCCCCCGCTGTCATATTGCTGGAATATTGCTAAAAGCGGGGTAAAACCAAACTCACTAACTTTAGTTCGTTATAACTGAAGTTCATTACATGTATCTGACTGTCAGACATCTTTGACCACATCATATTACCCTGTGCATAATAAACGTTTGCTCTGTATGTTTATCTCATCTCATACATAACATCAGTAAATACACATTATGCATAGATTGTTGAGACACACATCAAACGATGTCTAAAGTGTGGTGTGTCTGCTATTGTAACTTATCCATACTCAATTGTTTTTGTCTATAGACAGTATTGTCAACGTCAAAGGCTACAGCTATTGCTTAACTATAACTGCGGGTGTAAATTGGGGGGTCAGCCTCCAAATGTTTATGGTTGCTCTGATTGAACTGCCACATGTCGCCGTGGTAGTTTAGGTGTTCAGCGCTAAGGGGCTCATGGTTAGTTTCTCAAAAACATGAACCTTGTCATTGGCAGGCGACCCTCAGTTCAGTATAAGCATGCAACTATCATGGCTGTGATATGGCTGCTTCTGATAAGAATGAGGCACTCCTAATGCAAGGTACATATTCTGATTTGGAATGCTTATACACAGAACCAATGAACATACTGTGGAGAGAAGAAGCTTGTGATCTGCATCTTGCTGTGTTGAAGGTCGTCCACCTGCCGCTGCATCTCACTGATGCAGATCTGGGCATTCAGGTGACACACCTGCATCTACAAGAAGAAACATCAGGTGCAACAGGCGATGAAGTCAGCAACAGCAAGACTGACTGACTGAGTTTTGGTTTATGCCGCTTTTAGCAATATTCCAGCAACATCACGGCGGGGGACACCAGAAATGGGCTTCACACATTGTACCTATCCGGGGATTCGAACCGGGTCCTCGGTGTGACGAAAGCAAACGCTTTAACCACTAGGCTACCCCACCGCCCCGTAACAGCAAGAAGTCAGATATAACAAATGCTTCTATGAAAAGTACTTCTTGACTATGGTTGATGGGTTGGTTGGTTTGTTGTAGTCACATCAATATAGTGAGTAAGTGATTGAGTTTTACGCCACTTTTAGCAACATTCCAGCAATATCACGGCAGGGAACACCAGAAATGGGCTTCACACATTGTGCCCATGTGGGGAATGGAACCCGGGTCTTCAGCGTGACGAGCGAAAGCCTTACCACTAGTCTAAGGCTACCCACCGCCCAGTGAGTGAGTGAGTGAGTGAGTGGGTATGGTTTTACGCTGCTTTTAGTCAACATTCCAGCAATATCACACTCAGCAATAATTCTTATTGAATATGAGACACTTTAGTAGTTCAGTCACATAAATCCAAATTTGTTACAATGTGACTTGACCACTCTGGTTAAAACCCATATGAGCTAACACAAAAACGGCCATGAAATTGCTTCTGTGTTTGTGCAACAATATTTATCAAAAACATTTTCTGAATTACCCTCACCATCATCAAGCAAGTTAGTTTTTCCAGTCTTACTAATTATGTGATGAAGATAATATCAAACCTGTGCCTCAATCAGCTGTACATCCTTCTCCGGACACGCATCACATTGTTTGGCCATCAGGTCATCAGCTGACCCGACCTGAACTCCTCGACTTTTCACCTTTGGCCCTAAATTGGCCTGGACCTGTTGACATCTTGTCTCAACACATGCATTCACACCTCGACTCTTCATCTTCAACGCCATCTCTGGCATGAAGAAATCTGAAGTCTCATTAAAACACACTTCGTCTGTGTTGACTCCAACTTCTCGGGGCTCAAATGCAAGAGGGGTTTGGACTTTCATATCATTTACTCTAATCCTCTTTGTATTCACACCAACACTGACAAATAACGAATCCGACTGACATAGAGACTCTGGTGCCTCGGCCTTTGGGGTCCCAGCCTTTGGAGTCCCAGCCTTTGGGGTTTCAGCCTCTGGGGTCTCAGTTTTGGTGTTGGTGCATCTGCAATGTAAACATCTACACCTGCAGAATGGTTCTTCTGGAACAGTCTGCACACTTCAAGTTCATCTGATACCTCAGTTTCATCTGTATCTTCTTGATGAGGTTTATTCTTTGCCTTATCCCTGAAGAAGCTAGGTTTGAACTCGGGACTATCAGGATTCAAAGTAGAAGCTGATGATGATGCTTCTTCAGCAGTGAATCTACACTGAAACTCCTTAGCAGTGGCATCAAGGTTTGAAGAGAAGGGCACAGGATTAAATGGGACAGCATTTACATTGAGTTCAACATCGAGTTCACAACATGCATCTTCAATGATAACCTTAGCAAATTCATTTGAGAAGTCACTAAGACAGCCGTCAGATTTTCTTGAGCATCCTTCAGATGTTAATGACTTTGCATCAGAGTTGTCAATGCTGCCTGAGTCTGTGTGGACATCTGTGTCTTCCTTCCCACTCACTATGGAGTTAACATCAGAGTCATCGCCACTCTGGGAAGGTGTCCCACCTCCCGTCTTTGATTCAAGGGCACCTGGTGTTATGGAAGGTTCAGCTTCTGCTGCAGATACCACTATCCCACGTTTAAGGGCGATTTCCATGAATCTGTCTGCTTTAACTCTCTCTGTGAAGCGTTTGTTCACGGATGCCATCCTGGATCCTAGTTGATCTTGAGTTCCAGTTCCAGCTGTTTCGGGGCAGATGTCTGTATCTGTAACTTTGACTTGTAAAGCTGGACATAAAATCATTTATTATCCATTCTGTTCGAAATCAACAAGACTATATTAATGAACAGGAATCATGTAATTGGGAGATAAACATCATGATTGTGGTATCAGAGTTATTGGTGTTTCTTCAGTATTCAATGCTGGGAAATTTTATTCAGAATCCAGGGCATTACTTGGGAGATTTCCAGCCATGGAATACTGAGCATAACCAGAAGGGTGAAAACACACTGTGTGTTGATACTGTAAACACCCGTGAAGATCCGGGTTAGAATTGATCTTTAGTAACTCATGCTTGTCGTAAGAGGTGACTAACGGGATTGGGTGGTCAGGCTCGGTGACTTGCTTGACACATGTCATCATAGATCGATGCTCATGATGTTGATCACTGCATTGTCTGATCCAGACTCGATTATTTACAGACCACCACAATATAGCTTGAATATTGCTGAGGGCATAAAACTAAACTCACTCGCTAAATGATATTATAAAAGTATCAGTCATTTTCTGAATGTTATCTAGCTATGTGAACTCTAACAGTTGTGAGACAGACACAATGTTAATTTTGAATGTGATGAGATCATGATACAATGGGTGACAACTGAACTCAACTGGTTAGCAGTAGTGGTGTAACAATACAGGAAAATTATTTGCTACACAGCCAAAGCAAATACTCATTCAAATGGGCTGTACCATCCGACACTACCTGGCAAATGACCATATAACACGCATCTATAACTCTACATTTTTAAGTGCTTTTTAAATTTTTGGCGAGATCGTTTTTATTTGTTTCTGTTCTATTTCTCCCACACTCTAGAAGGCGAAGCGGTTTGCCATGATTGTTGTTGAGTATTATCATTTGATATTCAAAGGAGCATTACTCTTTTAGGCTCTAAAACTATGTCTGAAGAGAATTGTTTTAAATACTTCAACTGTTTAGGATATATTCTTAGGATATAAGAAAAAGCATATTCTAAAAAAAATGTTGACGAAAAGAACTTTTTCATGATAATAATAGTTGAATTCTCCAAGCGAGTTGGATTCAATGTCAAGGGTCACAAACTGTCATAGGTACAATGGATTCATACTACCTGGCAAACTTTAGAGTTCGGATACATATGCATTGGTTATTAACCAATCAAATGTTTTCTAATTTATCTGAAGTATTCTATACTAGGCACATAAAGAAACTGTGCATACAAAAATTTAAAATCTAAATTTATCAAACCTGTGTAGACATATAAGGATTTAAGCTCAGAGATTAGTGACATTTATCCAACATGCATGCATGTGCCACGTTCCATGACGTCAGTGGGTTTGTCCTTGAGACGTGCAATATGTTGTCGCAGGTGCATTCCGGGAAAGAGAAACAGAGCAAATGAATGCCCACAATACTGTCACTTTGGAAAGCTCAACCCCTGCCCTTGCGATCGTTCAAAAAATTGCTATTGAAACGCATAGCATGCCAAGGCTCACGTCTGCACAACGTCATGAGGCCATTGGGATGGTCCGTGCGGGAATGTCTCAACGACAAGTGGCTGCACATTTCCACTGCCACCGGAACACCATTTCTGCACTGGTGAGACGCTACCAGAACACAAATGATATCGATCGGCCACGTTCTTGACGTCCACGTGTAACAACGCCAAGACAGGACAGATGGATAAGGGTGACCCATCTTCGCCACAGGTTTCAGACTGCAGTGATGACTGCCCGAACCATCCCAGGACTACGCCCGTGATCCACCCCAACACAGTTCGACAACGCTTTACGCCATCACGGGATCAGACCACGGCGCCCCGCCATACGGCCTATCCTGACACAACGCCATCGACAAGCTCGCCGAATGTGGTGCCGAAATCATGTCCACAGACCCTTGTTTTGGTGGAGAAATGTTGTTTTAACAGATGAGTCCAGGTTTAACATTTCCCATAGTGATGGACGTCAATGTGCCTATAGACGCGTGGGAGAATGTTATGCACAGGCCTGTGTCTTGGAGAGGAATCGCTTTGGTGGTGGTTCCGTGATGATTTGGGGTGGAATAACAGCACGCCAAAGAACTCCTTTGGTGATTGTTCAGGGCAACTTAACTGGTGTGGGCTACAGGGATCAGATTCTTCGACCTGTGGCAATTCCTTTTGTGCAACGTCATGGCCCTGGGTTAACATTCCAACAGGACTATGCCTCGTATGGCAAGGGTTGCTATGGATTTCTTGCAACACCACAACGTTGACTTACCGCCTTGGCCTGCAAATTCACCGGATCTCTCCCCAATAGAGTATGTATGGGACGAGATGGATCGACGTCTACGCCGTCTTCCTCATCCGCCAGATAACGTCCTTGACCTTGCAACAGAACTTGAGAGAATCTGGCGTGACATCCCACAAGCCTTCCTTGCATGTTTGATAGGCTCTATGCGTCGTCGATGCACTGCTGTTCTCAATGCCGATGGTGGACATACCCGTTGTTGAGCTTGTGACATGGTCGTTTGACCCCTGTCCTGCTTGTGGACTCGTGATGTCATTGTGATAGACTTTTCAATTGAAATTCTCCCTTTGACATTGTTATCGTACTTATCAACTGGGATAATATTTTGACAATGCACAGTTTCTTTATGTGGCTAGTATACAAAGGTCACGATAAAATACATATGATTCATTAGAGTACAAGTTGTGTTGATGTAAAGGATGTGAATGATAACATGAACTGTTCAAGAACCGGTTTATGTGGATTCTCTAGTATTTTCTGATTGGATATAAATAGCATTATCTGCATAGTGACCCCAAGCTAAACTCTCCTTCCCCACAATATCCCAGTATTGTTTGAAAATTAAAAACAAATTATTCAGGGTTGTGATTCACCTGCAAAAAGGGAGAAAAAAGAGAAGTTCTGAAATGAAAGTAATGCATCAGGATACAAATTGTATCGAACCTATATTTACAGGATACTTATCATATCACAGCCTCACTATACCGTTACACCCCTAGGAAGCAGAATAATGTGAAGTAAAAGTAAATTAAAGACAAGAGCAAATGAACAGAACTGAATAGGACTACAGAGTATTACATGGGTCACAGAATAGGGCAACCAAAATATGACATGCCAAGAACAACACAATAGAGCAACCAAAGTGGTGCGAGAGCAACAGAATAGGGCAACCAAAGTAGTGCAAGAGCAATAACATAGGGCAACCAAAGTAGTACAAGAGCAACAGAATAGGGCAACCAAAGTAGTACAAGAGCAATAACATAGGGCAACCAAAGTAGTGCAAGAGCAATAACATAGGGCAACCAAAGTAGTACAAGAGCAACAGAATAGGAAAACCAAAGTATCAAAAGGCAACTGATTGGATGTGCCAATGGCACCCTGATCCATGAAACATATGGGCCATTTTCAGCCTGAATGGACTATTTTAGAATTGATCAGCCCTGGCTATCTAATGCAAGACAAACAATTTATCCACAGCATGACTTTGACTTTGAAACCTGCGAGCCAGTTTCCCAGTAACTGCAAGGGCAACAGAATGTGTTACAAAAGTATCACAAGAGCAACCAATCAGAAGACAACTTGCACAGGGACGTTCTTTAACAGAACATGACTTCGTTGATTTTCAAATCTGAATGTTGCTAAGGCATAAACAAATAATAAAGGATAGTCACTGAACATTTGTAAATTAAAAATTAAGAGTAAACGACTGGGACTGATCAAAACAGTAACAGTCCAAACATTCATCAGCAACAGTTTGACACTTTGTACACACATTCTTCAATCAAGAATTACAACACAATTCAAAGCAATAACAAACTATGTTAACAAAGGAATCAAAAGCCAATCACCATTCTTTTTCAGCATAGCAAAAGGGTGTGGTGCAATAGGTGGACCATCATCATCTACTGCAGAGGAGCCAGACTCTTCATGCAAGGCGGTGGAGCATTCAATCTTTGCAGGAGCATCAGAAGTGACAGCAGCGTTAACATCAGTCCTTATATAGGAAGACTTGATGTTAAAGGGAACATTGTGTGACTGATAGGTAGGTTTAATAGGAGGGGTTGGAGCAAGCGGAGGAGTTGGAGCAAGCGGAGGTGTTGGGGCAAGCGGAGGTGTTGGAACAGTGTTTGAAGCAAGAGCAGATGCTGAAAGAGGATTACCAGCTGCTATAATAGTATCCATAGTTCTCTTTTCTGGGGATGCTGTCCAAGTCGAGTATGTGCTTGATGGCCCAGATAAATATTTCACTTGCTGCGAGAGTTTGCCAGACTAGAATGTGGAGTGGGTTGCACTAGTCTAGAAGCAGCTGCATTAGAGGGATATTCCAGGGTTTAATGTGGACAGAATGGGGTGGAGGAGGTACAGGGAGGGATGTGGTAGAGATAGGATGTAGATGAGTGGGTAGGTGGGAAGCGGCAGAAATAGCCTGAGTTTGACCTTGAGCTCGCTCTTCGTTCCAGGAGAACTGGTACGTTTTTTGTGGACTGGTAACAGATGATTGATGCATGCTGTATCCATGAGACATTGATGGAGCCATGTGACTGGCTCCAAGCAGTGCCCTGCCTGGCAGCTGGGGATTCCCCACTTGTACTGGAACACCTCCAGATGGATAATGCATAGCTGTGTACTGCAGCCCTTGTTGAGCCTGGTAGAGATGAGGTGGTGGGTACAGAGGCTGTTGAGAGACATCGGCCTGGGCTACCATGTATTGGTGCTGGGGAGGACCAGACCCAGGGGTCAGGAATGGCTGGAACATGATCCTGGTTCACTTCAGGACACTGAAAAAAGAATTTTCAAAATAAGCCTCAGATATAATCAAATTGGTATCGCATGGATGTTAAGCTCATTTTTTATAAAGGAAAGGGTGCTGCCCAAGTTCATGAAGGCCTGTACCATATGCACCCTACCACAGAAGGAGCGACACAGTTGGGTGGGCGTCA